GAGCCCACGACGTGGAGATGGTGGGCCAGCTTGTGGGCATCATGATGGTGTCGTGCATCTGCTGGAGCCCACTGCTGGTGAGGGGCGCAGGGCCACCCCACCCCCGTGGCTGCTCCCGAGCTAGCCTGCTGCCTTCACGGGATGGGGGGCGGGGCTCTCCCCCACCCGCTTCTGCCCTGCTGGGCCTAGCCCTGACCTCTGGGAGGAGACTTGCCCCATCTCCTATCCATAGGCGCCCTCCACGCTTGCTTCCTCCCCCAGATGGCTGGAGAGTCACTCGAGATAGCTGGGCGCCCCTCTCGTCCCTGCCCTCCTACGCACTCCCACGTTCTCTTCTCTGCTTCTTGTCCTTTGGGATATGTATGCGGGACTGTTCTTACCAGAGTATCCACCCCAGAAGGCCCCTTTCAATCATGTCGCCCAACTTCCACAGTTGCTCCCACGTACACCTCTATTTACCCTCCTCACCCACCCGTATCCTTTCCTGCGCGCCCCCATCCTCACAGGGCAGCCCCAGGCCTCTCACACCAGCTTCTCCGCAGGTGTTGGTGGTGCTGGCTGTCGGGGGCTGGGGCTCCAGCTCTTTGCAACGGCCCCTGTTTCTGGCCGTGCGCCTCGCCTCCTGGAACCAGATCCTGGACCCCTGGGTGTACATCCTGCTGCGCCAGGCCGTGCTGCGCCAGCTACTTCGCCTTCTGCCTCCCAGGGCCGGCACTAAGGGTGGCCACGTGGGGTTGGGCCTGACCCCTAGCGCCTGGGAGATCAGCTCGCTGCGCAGCTCCCGGCACAGTGGCCTTGGCCACTTCTAGGAGTGTCCAGAGGCCCTGCGGTGGAGGCCACACCACCCCTGACCTGGCACACGGCATGGAGCCCTCCGGGAACAAAGCCACTTTGTGGGCAAGCCCAGCACCTGGTGGCCCCTCCGGAGGGGCGGGGGAGCCGGGTGGGTCAGGGAGGGGAGTGGCCGAGGCGGGAGCGGTCCTGGCACTGGCCACACAGGGGCTCAGACGCCGAGATTCAGTCTCTGGGAGGCGGGGCCCAGCCATGGAGCCGGAACAGCAGGGAGCATGCGCTGAACGCTCGCGCTGAACGCTCCCACTGCCGCGCCCAAAGCCGCGAAGAGTGAACGGCTAGGGTGCTTCTAGCAGCTCCTGCCGCCAGGACCTCTGACAACCATTCTGCTCATCATGACCCTGCGTACCCAGGCCCCAAACTTTACCACAAAACCTTGTGCTCTCACAGCCTCGACTGGCCCCAGCCTACTCAAACCCACACGGGTCACAGCCTGCCCATGTACCCTACCAAGGCTACACTCCCCCCAATGGCTCCGAGTCCCCACCCTCTTCGACCCCTTCCAGTGGCCGCCTCATCTTAGCCCAGAGCACCTACCCACACTATACGCCCTGTTACCCACGGGATGAACCCTGCCCACTTCCACGCACCCCGCAACCCCACCTCCGGCTGCACACACAAAAAGACAGGCTGCGTAGATGGGGTAAACCCCAAAGGCCTTTTTAAAAACTACTAAGAGCTCGGTTGGGGAGGGGCGGGGAGGACTTCGCAGCCCCAGCCACAAAGTCGAAGTCCCGGAAGGCTGCCTGCTCTGAGGCAGTGAGGGGCCGCGCGTCGCGGGGCGGGCTCAGCGTGGGGGCCTCCCCCGTGAACTCCTCGTCGAAGTTGCTGACGTCGGTACGGCCCGACAGCGTGGGCAAGAAAGGCGGCGGTAGGCGCCGGGCCAGCAGAGCGTCCCATCCCAGGGTCTGTGGGAGGTGGGCAGAGGTCAGCATGGGAGGTTAGAGGCCAGATCCCAGGAGGAGTCAGTCCCCCAGGCCTGTCCACCCCTGGGTCTCTGGGGCCCAGAAGGAGCCACAAAACAGAGTGGAAAGGGATGGAGGCCTAGGAGCTTGACAGGTCTGGAGGGAAGCTGGTGGCCAGTCAGGGGAGCCTGAGCGCACACACTGGGTGGGGCCCCTACACCACCATTCTGGGGTAAGGTTGGTGTCCGAGGATCAGTGGGGGTAGGAATGGTCGAGGAGGAAGGAGGTGGGGCTATCAAGGGGAGGTGACCATGTGTGATGGAATGCCCTGGCTCTTACTTGGAGGGTTGGACGGCCAAGCCCATCAGGGAGATGACAAAGTCCTTGGGTAGGAATGTGGGGTGACTGGGCCCTGGGAGGTGCAGGGTGAGGTGTCTGGATCTTGGTGGTGGTGAGGGGGAGGAGAGAGGTGAGGGGCTGTGGCCCTGGAGGGGTGGTGGTGGCTCTGGAGAGGAGGCATCTCACCCTGAAGAAGGGCTGTTTTTTCACATCCTCTGCGTCCCTCTCGCTGGACCCCAACCTCCGCTCTGGATTCCGCCGCAGCAGCTGAGGGCAGGGCACATTGTATCAGGACCTGGGCCTCAGGTTCCCTCCCCAGGCCCATGGGAGCACCCCCATTTGGGGGAGATCCTCACCCTTCGCATGATGCCTATGGCTTCGGCAGACAGGAAGCGGGGGTAGCGCACCTCATCATTGACGATGCTATCAAAGACCTCCTCCTCATCGTCCCCTGGGAATGGGGACTGGGGCGGGGAGGGCGGGTCAAGCCGGCCCCTGCTCAGCCCCTCCTTCCACACACCTCCCCCACCCCCAGCCCTCTGCATGCGGGGTGGTAAGCATTCCCAAGTTACAGATGCAGAAACTGACGCCTGAGAGCCAAACCACCTGCCCCCAACCACCTGCACACCTTGTGGAGGCAGAGGTCACACCCACGCCTGGACAGGGGCGGGGTGGGGGGGGTGGAGGGGTGAGGTCATTCCAGTGAGGAGTAAGCCATATCCAGGTCCTTTGGGGGGGGTCAGGGGGGTAGGGTGGGGACTCACCTCCCCAACTAGCATCTCGTAGAGCAGCACGCCCAGTCCCCACCAGTCCACGGCGCGTGTGTACGACGTGTCCGTCAGGACCTCGGGCGCCAGGAACTCCGGGGTCCCACAGAAGGTGCTGGTCCGATCCCCATAGCCCATCCCTGGGGGTGGCAGAACCAAGCAAGCTTACGAAGGGATCCCTAGCTTAGCCTGGGATGGGGTGGGAGTAGGGGAGTTCCAGAGACCCCATCTATCCCAGGGACGGAGTAGGGGACCCGTCTGGCCTGGGTAGAATCCCAAATGGCCAGTCCTTCGGAGCCCAGCCCCAGCAGGACAGGCTAGGCTCCGCCCACCAAAATCCTGCCTCGGCTCTCACCCTCCTTGCAGAGCCCGAAGTCTGCAATCTTGACATAGCCCTCGGTGTCCAGGAGCAAATTGTCCAACTTCAGGTCCCTGTGGGGGAGCATGGGGGTGTAAAACGGACGCAGTGGGAAAAGCACAGAACCTTGCATGCGCAGGCACGCGCACAGGCTCGGGCGCACGCACCCACCTGTAGACGATCTTGTGTTCGTGAAGGAACTGCAGACCCAGCACCACGCAGGCTGAATAAAAGCTGCAGAGGGAGACAGGTGAGGGGGGCAGGCTGCCACCATGTGGAGCATCACATCAGCCTGGCTCCCCCATCCTCAAGAACCCCCGGAACTCCAGGAAGGCACGGCTTGGGGTGGTGGTGGAGGGGAGTGCCTAGGTCTTGGGGGCGGGGCGGGGCGGGGCAGGGCTACAGGCTCACATGGCCCTGGGCTCTGAGAAGACATCGCTATGGATGTGCAGCATGAGGTCGCCGCCGGCGGAGTACTCCATCACAAAGCACACATGTTCTGGCGTCTGGAAACAGCCGAAGAGGTTCACCAGGAAGGGGTGCCCTGCGCTGGTCACGGCTGCCAGGATCCGCTTCTCACACATTAGGCTGGGCAGGCGAGGGCACCGGTCAGAGGCCATGGCTGCCCCCTGCCCAACCTCCAGAGTCCTCCATCCACAGCTGTCTGGGGAGGCTCTCCTTGCAGGCCAGGCCTGGTTCTACGTTGGACTTCACTTTGCTGGGTGACCTGGGGCCAGTTGCTTACTAACTCTGGACCTCGGCAGCTTTCTCTCTCTTGGTAACAGCTCACTGCTGCTCTGTGGAGAACCACCGGGGTTAAGCACAAGGCTCGGGTTAATCAGAACACCCCTCTCCCCCACCAAGGACTGGCTGCAGGATGCACAATCCAAGCAGGTGGCATTCTGCCCGGCATTTCTGCTGAAACGATTAGGACAGGATTAAAGCTGGTGGGCTGGGCCTGAAGCTGCTGTGGTCGGGGGCCAAATTTGCCCCTACAAGGGGACTGTGAGCCAAGCCCACACAAGGGAAAGCAGAACTCAGGCAGGTTCGCTGAGCACCTGGCTGCAGCCATGCCTGAGGGGAGATCACCCCTGGACATTTCCAGTCCAGATCAATAAATGTCTTTGTTTGCTTAAGTCTATCTGAATTAGCTTCCTGGTGTGTACAGGGATACCCAGAGGGCCACGGCTCATCGGGGTACCTCTCCCAAGGCGCAGGCACTACAGTGGGTGCTCTCAGTGTCTCCCAGATTGGGAGTCTGAGGCTCAGAGTGAAACGACTTTCTAGGGTCTCCCTGAGCATATTGGTGGCAGAAGTGGGGCTCGAACTCAGGGTCCTTGCCCCCAAAGCAGAAGCAGGGCAGTGACCCCACTAAAGAAAAAAAAAAACCTTGAGAGCCTGACTCCTCAGGCTCCTATCTGGGTCCTAGCCCTGCTGCGTACTGCCTGTGCGACCTCGGGGAAAGGCCTCAACCTGTCCCAGGAGCAGAATGGGGGCAGCAACAGGCTTGCTCTCGTAGGGCTTTATCTTGGGGGGCGGAGGGAGGGGGGGAGATAAGTCAACTCCTGGATTAAAAGCACACAGGAGGTGCTTTACAAGAGTTGTTATTCTCTCCCCTACACGCTAAAAAAGTTAAAGGGACTCTTCAGGGTCATTTTCACAGCAGCTCCAAGGAGGGAAACTGTTCTATTTCCCAGAAGAGAAGACAGAGGATCCCTGGGGGCCTGCGCATTGTTGCCCACCTCTCCACCTCATCTCGGGCCACAATGTCCCCTTTCTTCAAAGCCTTGATGGCGAACAACTCCCCGCTGGCCCGGAATTCGGAGAGCAGCACCTGGAATCGAGCATGCAAGGGTGGGCTTGGGGCTCGGCCCACCGGGCCTGGAGGCCTGGGCTCCCAGCCTCCCACTGCCGGGCCATCACCTCACCTTCCCAAAGTGACCCCGGCCCAGCACCGCCAGGAACTTAAAATCCTCGAGGGTCAAGGGCGACTTCCTCAGAGGGCTGTGGAGAGAGGACAAGGGTGGGGATTGGGACTGGGAAGTCGGGGAGGGGAGGGGAGAGGGTGGGGCTGAGGGAGGGGCATTACCTGCACAGGGCGGGGCCTGGGGTCTCCTGGGTCTCCGAAGGCAGCTCAGAGGAGGACTCCTGGATCCTGGAACTCTGCAGGAGGGAGAAGAGGTGGGCAGTGCTCCCCAACTGCAGGGACCCTTAAGCCCAGCCTCCCCACCTGCCCCACAGCTCAATGCCCTCCCAGAACACAACAGGACCACTCCCACCTCAGGGCCTTTGCACAGCTGACCCAGTACTTGGAGGGCTCTTTCCCCAAACACTGCACAGCCATCCTCCCCGCCCAGCCTCTGCTCCCCACTGCTCCTCGCACCTTTGCAGGCAGTCAGCTGTGGACTGTAGGAAACTAAGAACCTCCCTTTCCTGCACCCCCACTGCCCCTGCTCCTGGAGCACTCCAAGCATCCTTTACCATTTACCTCCTGAAGCCCGTGACTGCGACAGAGCCTTACAGAGGGACAGGTCTTTACAGCACAACACACCTCAGAGCACATGCGCACATCACTTGGAAAAGACTCAAAATGTATTTTCTTTTCGTGAAAACCCAATTCCTGTGGGTCCAGCCTCTCCTCTTCCAAGAAGGTTCTATAGGCCTAGATCTAAGCTTGGGACTGGAGGAGATGAAACCCCTCTTGCTGGAGGGGTACTCAGAGGGGGCGTCAAGCCCTTCGTGGGAACATGGTGTGAAGAGGCCACGGCGTTCTGGAGACCCCTGGAAAATCCCCAGCAGCCAAGACGGCGGCAGCAGCTCTCTATTTTTACCTGGGTTGACCACATTCTAATCTTGTATTTCCCACCCCCACCAAACAATCTATCTAGGGCCTGGGATGGTAGGGGGGTGGGGGCATGGGTAGGGAAGTGGGGGAGTGTTTTCAGCACCAGCCCACCGGGCGCGCCTCCCCTTTGAGCAGCTGCATGTGGATCCATTACGTTGTACTAACCCTGGCTCCCAACCTGGCTTCCACGCTCTCTCGCCCACAGCCCACACACACCATTCGTGTACATCCCAGGTAAAAGAAATGTCGATCCTGAACTGCCGCCACCTCTCACCAAAAGTCTTACCAAAAGTCAGCGATTCCCTCAGCTCCCTGGGGGTCAGGCCCCACATCCACTCTAGCCGTAGGTGGTTACTACACTTGGGGACACCCCCCCCCCAATCTGATAGGTATTCATTTAAATGCATCCCATGGAGGTACATTCTTATTTTTATTTTCTAAGGAGATAGAAGATATGTGGGATGAGAGTGCTCAGAGGGGCAAGGTTTGATCTGGGTCTACTCTGTCACCATCCCCTAGACCAGCAGTTCTCAATCTGTGGGGTGCGACCTCTATGGGGGTCAAACGACCCTTTCACAAGGGTCGCC